ATAGCGTGAGATTTTACATCAAATCCCATTTTTTTGTAACTATTCATGGTCTGCCATTCATTCTCTTCACAAGAAAACAACCTCTCTATTTTGTATTGGTTATGGTGGAGTCCACCTTTTGGAAGATTCCTATAAGTACTAAGTGAGCACACATTATAGAATTAATGCTAGAAATAATAAGAATCCACCAAAGTCCTACTTTCTGTCCACGTATTTTTTATCCTAACCTTTTAGGCTCTTAACCTTTTTTTATATTACCATAGTTTATTCAATATGCTCCTTAGATAACTTTTTTTAATTCTATTTGTTTTATTATTGTCTCCTCGTAGCATTGTGAAGCACCTTGACATGACGTTGTTTTTAAAGTGTGCTATATAAATGAAATGTATTATTATTATTACTATGTTAGAACCTCTTTCCTTCCTTTATAAGGCTATAAATATGTTTAGCGTGTACTCGAGGCAACATGTGTTAAGTTGAGGAAGGTCACATTGCTCATGAGAATCTGACATTGTGTAGACGGAGGAGAGTTCTGTATTATTTTACAATGGAGACGATGTTTTCTGCTCAGATTCTATATCGCCTTCGCCACGAACACTGTCCGAATAATTTGATAGCAGGTTTTCTATTTCTGGTTACCATCTGACTCCAGTGTCATGCCCCCCCCCGAGCAAATCTACCCATCTGACAGGAGCATACTCCTGCTGTTGATATGTATTTGTACGATGATATAGTGTGGCCTTATTACAAATGACAAGTCACCCGAAATGTTTCCTGTTCCTTGGCCATGTAATCATGCTGTTCCACGCTCGGGGAGATGGAGATGATTTCGGAATCAAGCCAAATAAAATCCAGGAATCTGCCTAACTTTTGACGCAAAGTTCTAATGTCCTGTTTCTTTCTCATCATGCAGACAGGAAATGTTCAAAAGCAAAATACTGAGGAGAATATATTGGAGTCAGAAATAGAGAATTCTATGTATATGGCACCCCCTTTTCATTTGTTATTATTATTATTACTATATATATTTTTTATTTCCCTCCTATTTGATGTTTCTCACTGTAATGAGGCCACTTATTATTTGTATGAAACTTTATTTAAGTAATTGGTATGTAAGCTGAGATATACACAGATATCTTGCTACATGATTAAAGTGAGATGATTGTCACCCATGGAGAGATGGATGTTATATGCGCAGTAACTATTGAAGCAACTGTTATTTTATATATATTGATTGTTGTTTATTTATGTCTTAATGTGTGCATATGTATACATGTGTCTGTTGATTGTGTATATATATACTGTATACATATTTTTATTAAAAAAAATGTTGTATTCGGGATTGTGGAAAGATTGACAATAAAGTTGACTTTGACTAACTAGTCTGCACACATTTGAGGATGCATGCGGGTGTATGTTGTATGTCTCAATGTTTACAAAAATGACAATAAAAAGAGTAAGAAATAGAGAAGCTGAAAAGGGAGACGAGGAGAGACACACGGGAGGAAGAGATTCGGTGGACGGGGGGAGAGGGGAGTGGGCCGCCGTTAGCAGGGCTGTCAGGTGCTGTCAGGATGATGAATGGGGGGCCAGTGTGGGCTCTGATGGGAGCCGCTGAGCTTTACATCACTCTCCTGAGTGTTTGTGAAAGGTTATTAAAGGGGCCTAAATCACCGGGCTCAGACACCAGCCCCCCCCCCCGCCACCAAACTTCCCCAAACTGCCGCCGATGAAAACGTCGGAACCAGTCAAAAGGTGCCGAGCCGGGGACAAAAGGAAAGCATATGCAAGGGGTGAGGGGGTGAGGACACGCACGTGGAGGGTCTTTTTCAAAGGAATAATGCAGGGGAAATAGGTTCAGCTGCAGTCATCCATCATATTCAGAGATGGCTAAAGTGGGGAGGTGTGTGGCGCAGTGGGTTGTGCATTGGTGTTCGGATCAGGGGGTCCCAGGTTCAAACCCCACTGCAGTCAGCATGTCGTTGTGTCCCTGGGCAAGACGCTTCACCCCAAATTGCTCCTGTGGGGATTGCCCACAGTATTAAGTTGCTTTGGATAAAAGCGTCTAACAAGTAACATGTAATGCAATGTAACATAACATAACAAGTAACATGTAAAGTACACACATCCTTCACTCAAGTAGAAGTAGCTTCAAAATGTACTTCAGTAAAAAGTACCCATACTGTAACTAGCAGCTGTTTTAAAGAGTACCTGACCTCCCTTTATATTAATAGAACAATAATGTCATTGTTAGCTAATGAATGTTTCCATGGCAACATGACAATGTTTTCATTGGTCCCTCTTCTTTAGAGAAGACCAGGAAATGATGGATACACGGATCGTGTTCAAATAAAAAGGCACGCAATGACTCTAAATAATAATGATCACGCATCAAACACACATTCAGACTAAAGGAACCAGCTGTTTGGAAAATGTAGAAAGTTCAGGTATTTGTGTTAAAAATGTAAGAAGTAGAAAGTACAGGTGTTAAAAATGTAAGAAGTAGAAAGTCGTCAGAAAAATAAGTAGTGGAGTAAAGTACTGATATCAGAAAAATGTACTTAAGTACAGTAACAAAGTATTTGTACTCCACTACTTGCCACCTCTGATCATAATGGAGGCTTAGGAATAAGGTTATTGTCAAAATGAATGTCAACATTGGCCTAGAATGGAAGAAAAAGCACTCTATGTCTTGTTTATTACAGAAAAGGGGTAGCGATGAATGATATTACTGTCACACTTATGCAAAAAATGTTCATTTATTTTTGTGGGAGAGGCATTTATTTGCATGTAGTTTCATGATAATTAGTTCATATACTGTACAAATGTGAAAGGTCTCTTTTACAGATGAACAATAAGCAATATTATAGGGTTGTAGCTGGTCAAGTACGAGCTACCTTCCAGTATAAATACCTCAAACTGTTTTGGAGTACAGTGAGTGGAGTCCAAAACAGCGGTCTATCAAACAACTATGGGCTGTATCTAAGTCATTTTAGGGTTGTTGATATTGAAAACGAGAGTCTCTCAGATGCAGGTTGTGTGCAGGAATGAACAGTTTTCTTTAAACAAAGAGACAGATCAAGTGTTGTGCGTGTTATTTTCTCCTCGTGATGCCAGGTTGTTTTGGGAGTTGAACCATTGACCTCTCAGCTTTGGTTCAGCCCTTCTGAGCACTACAGGCTCCACGACTGCCCACAAATGAAGCCTTTGGCATCCAATTAAATGCCGGACAGGTTTGGAGGCTGAGACAAACACAGCTCTGTCGGGTGTGAGTTGTCTCTTGCATGTCAGCTAATGGAGAAGCGCATCGAACGCTCTGTTCCGTGAACTGCCCCCCCGCCGGGACCTCGGATCAGAATATAAAAAAATCTCTATCGGATCAAGTGGGAGCGCTCAACTTTGCTTTGTTAAAGTAAGACTCATACTACAATACCTGCTTGGGAAGGTCACAAAGTGAAGTCAAGGGCATTTGAGCAGTGGTGTACTCACTAAATTCAGTCATTGTGTTACAGATAATAAGCATTTTACACACACTGCTGCCATTTATTCAGACCTTTAACAGTTTTAATAACTAATGGTGCTAATGAAAGCTGGAGCAGTGTGCATATGTTACCTTCCACCTACATATTCTGCATAATTATAGGCGTTCAATACTTTTACGGTCATGGATTCAATCGTGATGTTACAGAACAACCCAGTCCCACTGCATTTCGTGTTATCGTCACGACATTGAATCTATTGATTCGTGTTCACCAACACCATTTCCCCCTTTTTTTCGTGTCACACAGAACGATTTTAAAAGCAATGTATTTCTATTGGTAGTGTGTTTCGTGCCTGCACATCGTCTTTTTGTCCGGTCGGGTCTTGGAATACCAGAAGCTGTGTGGTTCATAAAAACATTTTCTTACTAAATATCTTACCCTAACCCTTTTATTTTAAATTGTATAATGTTGGAGTTTTTTTGCCGTCCGCGAGGAAAATAAATGGGGCTCAGCGCCTCAGAAATCTGTCATCTTTTTTCCTTCTAATTTGTTATCATTTGGTGCAGGCACGAAGCATACTACCAATATAAATACATTGCTTCTAAAATCGTTCTGTGTCAGAATACTGAAATCTGTATTTCCTTCTAATTTGTTATTATTTACATTGCTTTTAAAATTGTTCTGTGTGACACGAATAAAATGGCGAAATCGTGTTGGTGAACACGAATCAATAGATTAAATTCGTGACTATAACACGAAATGCAGTGAGACTGTTGTACAGAAAGACGCCAAAGGTCATTATAGACCTCACATACACACAGTTGTGTTTTGAACTTGAGTTAGATGTTTTTTTCAGAGTATGGATTTTGGTGTCAGGGTGTGTGTATGAGAGCAGAGTTTGCCTCTCCCATAGAGTCATGCCGGGCTGGAGGCCATTTCATGGTCTCTGATCCTCATTTGTCATTCAGCAGCATTAAATACTAATAGGCAAATACCCGCTGACACGAGAGGGCAAGCGATCGAAAGCAATTAGGCCACTTTTTCTATGAAAATCTGTAAACAATTCCAACGGTAGCAAAGAAAAGCGAGTTTGTTCGTGCCTCGGAGGTGTTGCGAAGGTGAAGTTGACTCATTGTGACTCCATCTGACAAACTCAAAATGAAATGCCTTCATCCTTATGTCTCTGCTGTAGGTAAGAAAACATATGTGTGTCTTTCTGTATCCTCAAAAGACTTTCATTGAGTGCTAACACCTCACATTGTGCTCATACTGTAAAGTGACTTTAAACTGCCTCCTGTGGGCTCCATGAAATGAGGATATTCATTTATTCTAGAACAACCTCCTTTAAATGGGAAGCAAAACAACGAGTAAGAGTAAAAAAGGAGAACATTTGAATATATTGCCTCTTCCTTAGAGTAAACTTAAATATCTGAATGAGCCTCTAAAGATATTACTACCTTCTTTGATGTCGTATATAATGACCAATAAAATGCTGCTTTTATGAGTTTTAATACTCACACTTAGTCTGTCTCCGGCTTCCAGGGAGGACTCCTTGTGCAGCAAGGCGTACTGGGAAATCCTCCGTGTGTCCTTCTCCAGGTGTGAATACATGTCATGTTGGTAGAAGTCCATGATGGATAAGGGTTTCTCCACACTGCTCCTCTTCAGGGTCTCCTCATTCTGGTCCACTGTGGATGGAGGAAGATGTTATAGATCAAGAAGAAAGGATCTCAACAAAATATCTATCTTTACTGATGAATGGAAAAAGATTCGTTTAGCGACTTCATCACACCTGCGTCACTGTTCTTGGATCTGAGGATCAGGGTCCTCTGCGGGGGTCTTCCCGTTTCCTCCGGTTCAGTCTCCGTGTCGCTGCTGCTCCCCGAGTACGTGCACACCTGAAGGGCTCTCTCCTGTTAGAAATATTGATATTTAATTGCAGCTTTGTGCATTTTTTTTCCCAGCCAATTGCTGCCAAATAACAGAGTTTTGGAAGTGTTTTTATTTACTTTTAAAAACTGAATTTTCAATACTTTCAAACTGATTTGTGCACATTGTAATGTAAACAACTTACAGCAGCCATGTCATGGTCCTTGGCCTTCATCTTTCTCTCCGTTTCCTTCTCTTTGTCCTCGGTGGAGATGTTACTCAGGGGAGCACAGAGACTCAACCTCTTTTCCCTTATTGCATCTGTAAGTCGACAAAAGAGACACCAGGCATGAAGCGTGCATTGAATAACAGAGAGATAATGCATTTGAACACACCATGTGACCATGTTCATCATTTGAATTCTTCCAAAGTGAGAATCTTCCCTTTAGCAGACTGAGAAAAACACACGGTGAGAACATCCACTCAAGCAAACACCAGCCTGTGCATCCTTTTTTAGTGCACATATGATGGAACTGCACTATATCCAAGCCATCAAACATTAAAGGGCCCCTGTTATAATGTTTTTTATCAATATATTATAGGTCTCAGAAATATACAAAACATGTCTCACATGACAAAAAGTGAGCGAATCTTTTTTCCTGAAACTTTCAGGGACACATGTTTATGTATAAAAGACATGAAAAAGTGGATTTTGCATAATAGGTGTCCTTTAATGGTGTCTATCGTGCGATTGTCCATCGCCATGACTCCTGGCAGCCCAGATATAACAGCTTTCAGCCGCCCAATGACAAAGCGCTGCCTTATTATCACCCCGCCCACTGCTGTCTCAGCCCCATGCCAATTTAATTGTCTCTTTTAACATTCAGCTGTGATACAATAACAGCCGGCTTCTGGCCAATACTAAATCTGTCTGTATTCGCTTTTGGTGGTTCTAAAAATGATAGAAAATAGAGGGGTGAAGCATTGGATAAAGAGCTCTTTTAATCATCTTGTTCCACAGTTGAGACCCACATTGCTGCCTCTACCTATTTCTTGTAATCAGAATAGCGATCATCAAACACATTACTAAGGAATTGGCTAAAAGATAATAACTTCACAATGGAATAACCTAGTTAATGAAATCTATGTAATGGAGACTATGAGAATTAGAAACCAAATCCATATCCTTGAGGAAAGGTGGGTTAAGTATAGAACATTATAATGAAGATAATTAATGTATACCTGAGTATTAATAATGTATCCATTCTTTTATTTGTAATATTATTATTGTATTATTTCTTTTCGGATTTGCCAACTGTTATGTAGTTAATCTATGCACCTAGATGTGTTTATTTTGTTATGTACGCTTTATGATCTATGGCTGTGTTGACATGCTTATCTGATCTCATCTGTTAGTTGTCCTCGAGCGAGGAAGACTCCGGGTTTCTAAAAAGGACACAGAGTCCTTTGTCATCTCAGCTGGCAGCGTAGAAGCATTTACTTTAAATTAAAAGACTCTCATTTTGATCAGAGTCTAATAAAGCGAACAGATTCCTCTTATCTGGCGCCCTTGAGGGAAATGTGTCAACACAGAGTTCAGTGACATTCACGTCTCAGAGGTAAAACAAGCAGTATGAGGCTTTCAAGGCTTGGTACTTTGCCATCTAGCATGATAATAGTCGCTTTTACAGCCAAGCATTTCAATTTATTTTCCTCTCTGCCTGAGTGAGAGAATCAGATATAAAAGGAAAGCATTGATTGTTGATACCTCCACATTGTGAAATGGCTTTATGCAGGAGGTGTCAAAGAGAAGAGGAGGAGTCATCACTAACAACCGTAACCTTATCTAGGAGAGATTTCTGCGTCAGAAATAACAATTGACACTTATTACCTAACTAAAGAATCCTCGGTCCGTGCTGCAAAATGCTGCAACAATACCCTTTTTTGTTTGTTTAAGAACAACACTTTTGTATCATATTGTGGTAGCCCTGTGTGTTTTCGGAAACAGAGTAAAGGCTAGAAAGTGAGTTTGAAAGCCAGGAGCATCATCATCCAGTGAAATAAGTGCTGATTCACCAATGGACACAAAGACTTAAGGTTGTAAACTGTATGGAAAATGTAACAGCAAAAACTACAACTCAAGATGGAAGTGTATTTAGAGAAATGGTCACCTGTTGTTAGGTATTTGGCAAAGTGAATAGATTGTAAGCCTCTAATTGGACTATATATTTCTGATGCTTTGTTGTTAATTACTATTGTACTTTTTGATTATATTATATATATATTTGTATATAACAGTATGATATTGTATCTGTACCATGTTGTGTGAGACTCACTGTCAAGGAACTTGTTTTAATACATGTTCAAATAAACAAGTGCTGATTCACCGTGTCTTTAAAGGTCACCTATTATGCAAAATCCACGTCTTCATATCTTCTATACATAAACATGTGTCCCCTCTGTGTAAAGAGATTCTGAACGTTTCAGAGAAAAAGATTCCCTCTCTTTTTGTCCTGTCTGAAAATGTGCTGATCAGATTTTGGCCACTTTATGATGTCATAATGTTTGTTTGTCTTGTGTAACCATCAGCCAATCACCAACCAAGGTAAACCCCCCCACCACCTTATCACCTGAATCTCCTCCTAGAGCACCATTGTGTTTTTTTAACCAATCACTTCTCAGAGGGGCGTGGCCAGCAGCCGCTCATTAGCATTTAAAGCTACAGACAGGGGGTGTTTCTCAATGTCGAGCAAAGCTGCTCCAGAGCCACTATTTCAAGCATACTACGTAATCGAGTGCCGCCGAAGTACTGTTCCAATGTCCAGCATACTTGGAATTCTACCGAGCCCGGCGTACTTCGTAGCGAGAAATTTCGAGGCTGCACATGTGTAGACTCCGCGGTCTTAAAATCCCCACAATGCTTTGCGCACGGACCAATTTCCCCAAATCTGTGGTGGAAAATGTAAGGCGGGGCCTCTCATATGACGCACACCTGCACACTTGCTAGCCTGTTCCACTCTTCGTTTTCCGAATGCCAGGAAGTATTCTTGCCTCGCTTCTGAAGCAAGTGACTCGGAAGACATGTGCTACCAAGCAAGCGTACTCGACATTGAGAAACACCCACAGAATCAGCACTTTTGAAACAGGGCTGAAACAGAGGGGATTATGGGATGCTACAATGATCTGTTTGGTGTTTCAAGCCAAAACCTTCAGAGACATGTTTGTATAGATCTGAGACCTATAAGATGTTGATGAAAAACAGTATAATAGGGGACCTTTAAACCCTCCCAGAAACATTAGGGAATAAATATAAAGTAATTACACTTCTTCTCCACTCACCTGAAGATGCTAATTTGGGTAGGCGGCTCTGGGGGTCTGCTGCGATGGTCACTCTGGGCTCGGACAGGGAGTGACCCATGCTGGTGGGGGCATGCAGGCGGGGGTTTGGGAGGGAAGGCACTTCAGGATGTGAGGGGTCTGGGTGAGGAGAGGGAGGGTCCAGATCCAGGTCAGAGGAGCCGGAGGTCATCGCTCCGGGGCTGGATTCAGATTTGGGGAGGGGGAAGGTACCGATCCCGCTGTCCAGGGTCCTCATCTGACAGCTGGAGCCTAAAAAGGGGACAGGGAGAGGAGTGTGATGCCTGGGAGAAGCACGGGAACAACAACAAAAGGAGAAGAAAGGAGGGCTTCACATGCAACGGAAAGGATTGTGAGTAAAGAGGGCATCTGTAGCGGGGTTCAGTAACATGTGGCCGGTAGAAAGAAGGAGAAAAAAGAGAACATTTTTATTTGATATAGTAATATTTAATTGGCATAATTAGGATCGCAGTAACGGTGGCTCCACAAGTTCTAATCAGACACACATATGCCAGCGATGCCGAGCAAATTGAGCCACGCCCGAGGACACGTTCCTCAGATTCCTCAGAGTGCATGCTGGGTTTTAATCAGGAGAAATGACAGCAAGTAGCAACAGATGGTGGTTTGGAAGCCACAGTTTGCAGTCTTGACTGAACAGATGGACCAGGTCCTTGTAAGTGTGAACGGCCAACAGTTGCATCTGCTAATTATTTGTACTTTGCACATTTTTGCTGAGATAGAATTTTGTAACGATTCATCTTTGTTCAAATAAATAATCCCCGCGTGTTATCTTTCCACTGTAGATCTTCTGCAGCTCTCAATTCTGTCTCACACAAATATTTTCTTTCTCTCATTCTCTTTCAATACTATTGGGGCATTACAGTTGACTTTCAGAAAAGCTTGCAAGAGGGATCACATTTGCATCTGGGTCTGAAGCTCAAACTATTGATCATTTTTCTCTTATGTCTCTGGGTGCCGTAATGCACTAAAAGTAACAAACACATTCTTGTCTGAATGCCAAGAATTGTCGATAAATTCAAAGACGAGGGAATATAAAAGTTGTCTTTCAGAGAGAAAACTTTGAGCAGACAATGTTCTTGTGTACTTTAAGTTTATATCTGACTTGCCCCTGACATTCAACCCCCCCCCCCCCCCCCGGCGAGTGGAGATCTTGTGGAAATGAGTCCTGGATCTGCACATTCATTGGACAGATGGCTGTTATATGTATCTGCTGCGAGTCACTTGAGGACAGTTGCTGCGAAAAGTATAAAAATCCTCCAAAGTTCATGATGTTGCTGACGTGCAAGCAGAGAAAACACACATTTGTGGGTGTGAGAAAGCTGCAGGGAGCCATAGATTGCACAGCTGCATTATTGGATGCCAAGCCTGGCAGTTCACCCCCCCCCCCCCCCTATAACCAACATGGTCCACAGTAATTCTACCCAGAGGCAACAACAACTGGACAAAATATATTTTCTCATGAGCTCCCTATCACTTCTGTACACCGCCTCCAGCGAATTGTTGATACCTCCACATTGTGAAATGGGCTTTATGCAATGAGGAGGTGTCAAAGAGAAGAGGAGGAGTCATCACTAACAACCGTAATCTTATCTAGGAGAGATTTCTGCGTCAGAGATCAGATAAAAATGCGATAACAATTGACACTTATTACCTAACTAAAGAATCCTCGGTGCGTGCTGCAAAATGCTGCAACAATACCCTTTTTTGTTTGTTTAAGAACAACACTTTTGTATCATATTGTGGTAGCCCTGTGTGTTTTCGGAAACAGAGTAAAGGCTAGAAAGTGAGTTTGAAAGCCAGACCCATCATCATCCAGTGAAATAAGTGCTGACTCATTGGTATTGATCTACTGTGTCTTTAAAGTTTAAACCCTCCCAGAAATATTAGGGTCGGTGCTATGGGCACATCAAAATGGTATTCATTCCTTCTTTACAAGTAAATATAATGCTTCCAGGGGATGTGCCGCTAATATACAATTACTGACCAGTGTGTCCACATTCAGAACTTGGATTTAGCTCGAGCTGCTTGCATCGTAAACTGTGTGTAAACTGTTTACATGATTGATGTGTTTGTCTTGCCGCTGTACTACTTTATAGATACATGACATTAAAGCAGCGCTGAGGAGCAATGAGCAGCCACAGCTGAAACCTTCATGAAATGTTCACTTTATGGAGGCTTAGTGCTTAGCTGGCAGAATATGATAAAAGGCGGTGCGTTAGTCAGAATACAAGAGCAATAAGCACAATAAGTACTCATTTGGAAACTGTGCTGTATGATATCATATATAAAAGAATGCCCTTTTTAATAGAATCAGGAGTTTTTTTAAATAGCAATCCACTGCAGATAATCTCAATTATAAATCATTTCATTTATATACTATCTGTTACATTTCTGCTGCTTGGTACATCGAACATTCTAACTAATCCAGAACATTTTATAATGTGTATTCTTTGTGGCATATGTATTTTCTACTGTAGATATGTATACATTTGCTGTTGCCTGAACACATCGCTGCCGCCACAAAATAAATTCCAGATTTGGGATGAATAAAGTATCTATCAATCGATCCAATTCATCATATGCAGGAGTCCAATCATTACTTTGAGATGGATCACCGAGACAATTTCTCAAGTATCCGACTGAGTGACAGACACGCTGCACTCCAGTAAACAACGATCACACTCTCTGCACACCGACAAACATACAAAGCACGTTTGCAATAATGACAATCATCATCCCATCTCACAAATGATTGGAGGCATCCATTTGTTCACTTCCTTAGCTGCTCAGGCATTGTTGAATACCTGGTCGCGCATCAATCACCTGACTACATTGACTACATTGTCAACATGTTCTTTTTTTCCCCACAGTAATGGCAATTAGTCGGCGAAGGGATTGAGTTGTCAATCACATCAGGAAATCGCAAGTGTAGAATGTGTTGCTGCTCCGTTGCACTGGTTGATTCGGGATGGTTAGTGACAGCTTTTTCGTAAACACTCGCAAATATGGAACTCAGTGGCTTAAAACAACATGAATGTTTGACGGAGTGAAAGTAAAAGAGTCGCTCAAAAGGAGACAAGATAGGATTTGAACGCTACTTTGGTTAGTATCAGAATCAAATACATGATGTTACCACGACAACAGTTGTGTGGGTATTTAATGTTTTCGGCACAAATGACTCATTCTAGCTATTTACAGTCAGCCTACCTAGCATGTGGTCTTGACAAGCTGTGTCTGGAATACGTCCCTCTTCATTTCCAGCCCTCAGATTGATCTTCTGAGTCATTATAAGGGTCTAGAATATTAACAAACAGAAAAAAACCCAGTTAAAATACACCATAATATACAATATATAAGTGTCTTTTAGAGATGATGTTACATTAAATAACATATATACATATATTAGGGCAATTTGCAGAAGAAAGGTTGACATTTACAGATTCATGTGTGAGCTTCTGGCTTTGTGAAATGTGTAAAAGTTCTTTTGTTGGCAATTATCATTATTTCCTGCCGTACTTTAATTGGGTTATTCAGAAAAATATGTGGTTCTAGGGTGGTGCAAGAGAAGGAGTATGTAGGTCATAAAGTGTCCGTCTTTTGTTGCATTTCTGTGGGGAGCAGATAGGCAGGAAGCTCGGAGGATGGTATTAAATGGCCCCTTTGTCAAATTGAGTGCCTGCGATAAGGCGCTCCTCCATGTTATCAAAATTCCACATCAGCTGGATTAAATTTCCTACATTATGCTGTGAGACTCTTTTTGTGTCATCCTCTCCCTCCATCCAGCTCTCCTTATACTCTCCTTTTTTAAAGCTCTCTCAAACACTCTTTGATTGACAGCTAATTCAGGATAAATAAATCCACAAGGTCATTCTTTGTGGCCATTTGCTTACAAAGTGCACTGATATAATTTAATGAAGTCTAATTTAACTAAATGCTTGGCCCTCATGGCTGTCTCTGTGTGAGTTTAAAAACCTTCAGCCTTGTGGAAACAACAACAACAACACATGGTGCTGGGTGGATAAAAAGAGGCGATAAATCGTAGGCTGAGTCAAAGTACAATGTGAATCAATAGGGACGCTTCAGGGGATATATTGCTGTAGAGGCGGTGCTGCAGTGGGTGTGTTTGTGAACAAGTGTGGGAAAACCTGTGGGAATTTGCTGTATGTCGAAACAGTCCGAGACAAACAACGCAGACAGCAATATGTTAGAAAATGTCTATTATGGTGCCCACTTACAGCAGTATCTGGACAGATCTCCATATCTCCCTTCATTTCGCTGTATTTCTTGGGGGTGGAGATCCCAGGCGGCGATGCGGCCTCACAGCTGCCCTTCACAGCAGCCCTGTTAAAATGAGATTTGATCAGTATTTATGTCTGCCTCCTCCTTTATCAACTCAGCAGGTAGAAAGTGAGCCAGCTAATAAATTGCATTGACCTGCTCTTTCGCTGCACTGATGCAAAGAAATGTTTAACGGCCTCTATGAAGTGCTCCCAGTTACTCTGGATATAGATCTGTCAGCTGTGATTTGAAGTGGTAAATCAATGTAGGCAATATGAAATGTGGAGCTTTACCTTGCTGACTATGTGTCTTGGATGCTGCTCCAAGAATTACTTATGCTCACTGGAGTGGAGTCATAACTCAAGCCGACAGCCGCTGTTTATTTATCAGCTTCTCTGAACACACAGGTTTTAAAGCAGCTCATGTTTAATTTAATAGAACAACCAATTTGTTTTGTCGATTCACACTGTGTGACCGGGAGTAATCAGCATAACGCCCGATCAATTAAGTGTAATTCATTCGGAATGTTCTTGAGCTGTAGTTTCACCCACCTGCCGAGAAGCTCCTTCACGAACTGGTCTTTGCCGATGAACGCGGTGGTGCACTGGATCTGAGAGGCGATCTGACCCATCTGGTTGTTGCAGTGGTCCATGATGGAGCTCAGCTTGTTGTTCACATCAGACTGGTTCTCCCCCTCCTGACAGTCTCTCTGCTGGTTATCGTTTTTCTTCTTATCCTTCTTCTGTTTGCCTCCGAGCACCGATCCGATCTTCGACTCCTTCTTCTCTTCCTTACCCTTGGGGGAGTCCGCTTTCTTCCCACTCAGAGCGGGTAGTTTGCTCTTACGGAGGCCGAACCAGTTTGCCAGAGAAGGGCCCGTCTTCTGTTTGGTCTCGCTGGCAGTGACCTTCTCCTGTTCTTGACATTTCTGCAGGTTCTCCTCGATTCCCATCATGACCTTCTCTTCGATCGTACAGGCTGTTGGGCTGATTTTCTCCTCCGTATCTGGAGAGTCTGTCTGAGTTTTGACATCTCTGCTAAAGTCCGGGTCATCAGGGGAAGTTGCTATTGGAGGCTGTGGATGAACTTTCGCTGGCTTGCGGATGTTTAAACCAACCCTTTCACTGATGGGTAAGCTACGTGTCTCTTTTTGAGAAGGTGAAGTGATCGCCTCCACCTGTGACCCGTCATCTGATTTGGAAGTTTTCTCAGGAAGGACGCTCTGACTATTTGACGACGTCATGCCTCCGTAGTGGCTGAGCCTGGATCTTGGGGAGTGGACAGGGCTCTCCGGTACCTCCAAGGAACTCTGCCGCGACAAAGAGTTCCCCCTTTCCCCAGAGTTGGTGATTATCTGAGTTCTGGTTTTTCCTGGCCCATCTACAACATTGATGTTGGGTTTCTCAATGTAGTTGGTGCTAAAGCTCTGGCTCCGGGCTTTGGCCCCATTCATCCCCAATGCCGGCTTTAAATGAGGCTTTGTAGAGATAGATATGGATCTGGAGAAAAGTTGACTACTCCTTTTCCCTTTCTCACAAAGCTCTCCCTCCTCTGGTAACACAGCATGAGCATCGTCCTCCAGTAATCTACACTGGACCTCACCTTTCACTTCTGTAATGGACATCTTGGGGGGGGAATCAATGCTGTACACTGGCTGCGAGCTGTCACACTGGGTAGAGGCATTTGAAGTCACAGTTTCCTTGGAGACTGAGTTGATATGATCTTTTGCTTGCTTGCCTGGTATCGAGGGACTATTTTTATGGCTAGGGGGAGATTTTATGAATGCTTTAAAACCCATCGGGATGCGAGTCTTTGAGGCTTTTTCTGGCGTGCTGGGGGAAAGCATGGCCGAACTGGGGGGGCTGACAATAGCTTTGCCATTTTGGGGTTCTGTTTTAGCTTGGGATGTGTCCTGAAGCGATAGGGGTAAACTAATAGACGTCTTCTGCACTGTCTGATGGACACCTTCATGGGTTGATAATCTTTTATTTGCAAAGGAGTTCTGAAGTGAGGACCCTCTGAGGGCACTGTAAGGGGGAGGGACATTCTTTGAGCTTTTAGGTGCATTTTCAGTTTCTGGATCAAACCCTGAGTTTGCAGGAGGGATGTAGTCTTTCGCGGTCATCCTCTTAGAAGTGCCTTTAGTAGGCGTCTGAGTGGTGGCGGGGGACTTTTGAAGGTGCAGACTGGTTTTCTCGACCAGTTTCTGAGGTGCAAGTGCAGTCCCGTAGCCTGCATCCAAGTCTAAACAGTCTTTATCCTTGATGGGTAGCGTCGATTGCATATTTGGTAGAATTGAGGTGTGGTAACTTGGGGGAGGGCCCCTCACAGTGGTTGTTTGAGCCAGCCATGTCTTTTGTGCTTGAGGCGACCCTTCATAATTTGGTCTGACCAGTAAGGAGGTGGTGCGGCCCGGGGGCGGGGGAGGAGAAGGGGACCTGAGTTTATTTTTGCTGGTTTCACAGTGTTGGTCTCTGGTGGGCTGCTCACCATTGTCAAGATAATCCAGGTGCCTCCTTGAGAGGTGAGGGGAACTGGAGGAGGAGGGGCCCTTACTCAATTCGGCCCTGCCTTGGAGCTTGGAGTTCACTGCCTTTGGGCTCTGTGAGCAGGTTCCTTGTGTCTTGATAAACCTTGACAATTTAACCGCAGGAGAAGAGGGAGATTTCTCCTGACCTGAGGGTCCTGAGATACTTGTGTCAGTGGAAGAGCCCTTAAACAATCTCAATGGAGAGGTTAAAGGCTTGTTTCGCCCGGGAATCTTTGACCCACTCGACCTGGAAGCAGCAGAATCGTTCATGGGGGGCATTGAAGGGCCTTTATTAGGTCGGCTGCTCAGCGGTTTGATTAGTTTCCTTTGTGGAGTCATGTGTATCGACTCCCTCTCTGCACTGCCCTCCCTGCTGTTGCTAGTATTTTGAGACCTAATTTGATATTCAGATGGCTTCTCTGGAGATTCAAGAACACTGTAGTTTCTTGCATTGGCAGATTTTTGCCTTGTCGGTCTCTCCCGCGGCACTACTTCTGCGTAATCGGGGACTATTTTGCTACTTTGAATGCCGTTTCGTGGCCCTGAACAAGCAGTGAGACTCTGAGAAGAAAGTTCAATAGGCTCTCCTTCTGCATCGAATATCGACAAGAGGCTCTCCTCAGACTGAGTACACATGGATCCTTTGGGCTCCTTCAATAGGCAGAAAGGCCTGGGCCTCCCGTCTGCTGATTGGGTGCGTCCCTGCTCTCTTCGGAGGCACTGTTGCGCGATCATCTTGGCAGCGTCTCTTGACTCCCTCTTTGAGTCCCTCACTGCTCGCTCTGGTGTCTGGCTAAAGGACATTCTGATGTCACTAGACTCCGAGCTGAGTTCCTCTGGATCATCCACATCAGAGAGGGGGATGGGACCCTGAGGGTTAGGGGGCTTGAAGTGCAGCAAGGATGGTTTTTTAAAAGCTGAGGGGCGTCCCTCAGGAAGAAAACTGTTAATGAAACTCATGAGTTTCTCGGGACGTTCTTTTGAATCACAGCCAGAAAGGTGTTTTGTAGCCAAGAGACCTGAGTTACCATCGCCCCCACCTCCACCTCCACCCCCACCTCCACTGTCCTGCAGCCCCTCCCAACTACACAAACTGTCCGATATGCTGCGGGAAAGCTTCTTGGAGTAAAACCAGTTGTCCTTAGTGGGGATGTTATCTCCTCGACAAGAAGTTGCCAATTCGTCATCAGCGTCATCAGAATCAAAAGAGAAATTCTTGCCCACAACGGCTGAAGTTCTACCCACATGGGTGGGATTGGACACCCCCTTATTTCCACCCAAGACACCCAGGGAGTAGATGCCCTCGTTGGAGTTCATGCAGTCTTTGTCTCCTGACTTGGAGACCCTGGCTGAGGCGGAGGAGCTCCGGTGCTTCCTCCTCTGGAGCTTTTTCAGTCCCTGAAGTATGTTGCTCTCCTTGCGCCTGGTGGGCTCCTCCGGAGGGGTGCAGATATTACTCGGAGCTGACGAACCCAAACTCAGCCTCTTCTCCCAGGTCAGCGATGACTAGAAGCAAAAAAAGTGGATCAAAATTGTGTCGTAATCAGCAAAACTTGAAATCTTGCCAAGACAATCGAGACAACTTGAAAGGATATGGCGTTCCACTAAACTTGAAGAATCTCGTTTAATTTGGCATATTACTCTCAATGAATATAAGAAAGCACTGCGTAAAGCGAGAGCAGCCTACTACTCTTCATTAATAGATGAGAATAAGAATAATGCAAGATTTCTTTTCAGCACTGTAGCCAGCCTGACAGAAAGCCACAGCTCGATTGAGCCTTCTATTCCCATAGCACTCAGTAGTAATGATTTTATGTGCTTTTTTAACGATAAAATTGTTACTCTTAGAAACAAAATTAATGACCTCTTGCCTTTGACCAGTATAGTGTTATCAACAGCTCCCGGAAACGTAAGTTCTAATATTACATTAGATAGTAAACTAGAATGCTTTTCAGCCATAAACCTTGAACAATTAAATACAATGATTCTCTCTTCTAAACCATCAACGTGTATGTTAGACCCAATTCCAACTAAGCTGTTGAAGGAAGTTTTTCCATTAATTAGCACTTATTTATTAAATATTATGAATATGTCTTTATTATCAGGCTATGTTCCACAATCATTCAAAGTAGCAGTGATAAAACCGCTTCTTAAAAAGCACAATCTCGATCCAGAGGTTTTAGCCAATTATAGACCTATTTCCAATCTTCCGTTCCTCTCAAAAATTCTTGAGAAAGCGGTCGCAAAACAGTTGTGTGATTACTTAAAAAACAATGATTTATTTGAAGCTTTTCAGTCTGGCTTTAGAACACATCATAGCACAGAGAGAGCTCTGTTTAAAGTCACAAATGACATTCTAATAGCCTCTGACAAGGGACGTGTCTCTATTCTTGTTTTGCTCGATCTCAGTGCTGCATTTGATACTATCGACCATGATATCTTATTGCAAAGACTAGAGCACTTAGTTGGCATACAGGGAACTGCTTTAGGCTGGTTTAGGTCCTATCTATCTGAACGCTCTCAGTTTGTACGTGTCAATGATGAATCTTCCACGCAAACCAAAGTTAGCCATGGAGTGCCACAGGGCTCAGTGCTCGGACCTATTTTGTTCACATTATATATGCTTCCGTTAGGCAATATTATAAGGAATCATTCTGTAAACTTTCATTGTTATGCGGATGATACTCAACTATATTTATCAATCAAGCCTGATGAAATTAATCATCTAAATAAAATTCAAGACTGCCTTAAGGACTTAAAAACGTGGATGACCTTAAACTTTTTGATGTTAAACACGACCAAAACTGAACCAAAACTGAAGTTGGCCCGAAGAATCTACGAAACAAATTATCTAAGGATATACTAACTATGGATGGCATTAATTTGGCCTCCAGTGAGACTGTAAGGAATCTTGGTGTTATATTTGATCAGGATTTATCCTTTAACGCCCACATAAAATCAATTTCAAGGACCGCCTACTTCCATCTACGTAACATTGCAAAAATCAGGCATATCTTGCCTCAAAACGATGCAGAGAAACTAGTCCATGCATTTGTTACTTCAAGGCTGGATTATTGTAACTCTTTATTATCAGGGTGTACCAAGAAGTCAGTCAAGTCGCTTCAGCTGATTCAAAATGCTGCAGCTCGTATACTAACCAGAGTTAGGAAAAGGGACCACATTACTCCTGTTCTGGCTGCCTTACACTGGCTCCCTATAGAACACAGGATAGAATTTAAAATTCTTCTTCTCGCCTACAAAGCCCTTAATGGGCAGGCGCCATCTTACCTTAAAGAACTCATTATACCCTACTGTCCTACTAGGGCATTGCGTTCCAAGAATGCAGGGTCGTTGGTTGTTCCTAGAGTCTCTAAAAGTACAATGGGAGCCAGAGCCTTTTCTTATCAAGCTCCACATTTGTGGAATCAGCTTCCAGTTTGTGTTCGGGCGGCAGACACCCTATCCGTTTTTAAGAGTGCGCTTAAGACCTTCCTTTTTGATAAAGCTTATAGTTAGGGCTGATTAGATTCAGCCCCTAGTTTTGCTGATATAGGCTTAGTTTGTCGGGGGACATCTTACTTCTTCCTTCTCTCTGTCTATACCTGTGTACTCTCATGTTCCGATTAACCCAGCTTCCCCAAATGTCTTTCTTTTTGGTGTCTATATACGCCGGGATCCGGAGTCATGGATGATCCTGCGCTCCTCTGTCCTGGATCGCGAGCCCTGGATCTTGAGTCGTGGCTGTGGTCCTGGATCATAGGTCCTGGATGGATATCCTCGTGGATTCATCTTCCTATTATACACACATGCATTTCCAAATATTTGGACTACCTATGTTGCATATGTATTATCTTTTCAATTTACACACGGCATCTATTGCACGTCTGTCCGTCCTGGGAGAGGGATCCCTCCTCTGTTGCTCTCCCTGAGGTTTCTCCCATGTTCCCCTTTAAACTGTGGGTTTTCTTCAGAAGTTTTTCCTTGTACGATGTGAGGGTCTAAGGACAGAGGGTGTCGTATTGTCATACTGATATTTTGTACAAACTGTAAAGTCCACTGAGACAAATGTAACATTTGTGATATTGGGCTATATAAATAAACATTGATTGATTGATTGATTGAAGTATATTGGTCTAATTTCTAGTGAGAATATGTCTCACCACTTGATATAAGACATAATAAATGAAGTAACAATGCAGTGAGATTTGTTTTAGACAATGCATCTTAAGTATCTTAACTCTTGGAAACATCTTATTCTGAGTTGTATCTCAGATGAATTGTTGTTTAAGCTGCTGTGGTATTTGTGAAAGATGGATTAATCTTGTTTCAAGAAATACATCTTTCTTGATTCGAGAAAAACACGTTTTTATTGGAAAATCACCAGAAAACAGAACACTTTTGAGTAGTTCTGGCTCATTTTGTAATACAACATTCCCTTATTCTGGTGAAATATAGCTCAAACAAAGTTTTTCTCAGCTAATTACAAGACCTGATTTATCTAAATATAGCATTTTATTTCAAGGGATCTTACCATGCAAGTTTTCACTTGTTCTATTGGCAGATTTTTTTGACTTATTACAAGCAAAAACACCTTGTTTTTATTATTCTTTTACTTGATTTTGGAGCAGCATTTTTTCCAGTGTACAGTAAGATAAATAGTGAGTGACAGGATTTACCATTTTCCCACAGGAGCGTCCATCATTCCAGGTGTAGGAGCCGCTGGAGAATTCACTGCAGGCACTCGACAGGGACAACTCACTGCTGCTGCAGCTGCTGCGGGGATACACAGGGGGGGCTGTGAGGGACAGCTGGCTCAGACACTTGGCCAAAGGGAGACCTGACTTTCCATTCCACTGGAGCTCCTATAAGACAGAGAAACATAATTATAGTGTTTATAACTTGTATAGCATCATTTTTTTATTTGCATTTTAAGAAGATATTCACAAAGCATACATAAAAAATAAACACATCTATAGATTAACTACGTAACAGTTGACAAATCCGATATAAATAATAAAATAATAATATTACAAATAAAAGAATGGATACATTATTAATACTCAGGTATACTTTCTATACTTGACCCATTTTTCCCACCTTTCCTCAAAGATATGCATTTGGTTTCTAATTCGCATAGTTGTTTTCTCACATTTTGAGTTTACTAAGTTATTATCTTTTAGCCAATTCCTTGTAATTAGTTTGATGATCGCTATTCTTATCACAGTAAATAGGTAGGAAACTTTATTTTGTATCTCCTCTGGTGTTTTCCCCAGTAATGTGATGATGGGTTCTTATTGAGAGAAATGCCACTTTTATTGGACATTTCTCTTAAAACTGTTTCGCATAAGTCTTATTTTATACGCTTCATTCCATAAACATGCATATCTGATGTCTAAGACGTCGGGTAGTGTTGCGTATCTAATTGCCATCTTGCTGTTAATTTAGATATGAAACATATTTACCAGCACTTGACAGACCCGTCAAATACTCTTAGAAAGTTTCATTAAATTCTACAGTACTTGGCTTTCCAGACTTAATTTAAGAATATCAATCATATTCCCATGTTCAGTCATCACAGCAGATGTTCCTCGATCAGCATTGACTGCAAATAAATTATTTTATTCTTGTATGCAAGATTAGAAATAAGATATTTTTCTGGTCTGCGTATCACTTCACATAATGTCTTTAAGGAGATACTTTGCACATTTAGATTACATGATTTATTATAATTTGCATAGCAGCCGTTATTATATTCATTCTTTGCCGTAGAGTTTATCAGGTGGCATTCTCGGAGGAGCAAAAGGGTAAAAGGAAGGAGCAAACTCATTTTCAGGCTTTAATGCATAATATATAAGATGACTAATGTACTACAGTGTCCTATGGAGTCATTTTTACTGACGGAGGGGCCCAATCGATGGTTTTCTGGTAATATGACAAGGATTTATTCCTCTTAGCGCCAAATGATACTGCCAGAGAGCAGAGGAGGGGTCACGGCTTCAGATAGTTAGGTCTGTATTTTAATATCGCCTAACGATTTCTTGAGTGGGTTTGTGGTTACCTGGATAATTCATATGGCTAAAAAAATGTTTCCCACTAAGCTTACACTGGAGGGGGATTCTGTGTTCCTGGAAAGGAGGAAGGCCTTGCTTCTTTCTGGCTCCAGAAGCAAATCTGCAGCAGATAGATCCATGATCCTTGAGTGGAGTTTCTGAAAAGGAAGGACACACCGGGGTGAATTTGTGTATTTTATTTTATCTCCCTTTCCAGTTTGTCAATTCTCTCTTTTTCTCTCACATTTTTGTAACACAATGTTCATTACTATAACTGTTCAGTAGCCGTTCAGTGTTGAAGCTGGGCAACTGGCCTATCAGGTTCCCTCAATGCAAAGCCCCGATTTATAGCCCCGATTCATATCCCCCCCCCCCCCCCCCCACGCTCAAAGTCATTAATGACATCGGCCGGAGAAAAACTAATGTGAATAGGATATAATTGCATCAGGGAGTAAGGGATTCCTTTGATTTTTTTTCGTCAGCAGTCTCTTCTGTTATTTAACTATTGCGCTTAAGAGGGAAGGATTCAAAAACCAAAAGCATTTCCATGTATTAATCTCCGAACTTAATTAGACTGTGTTCCCTGTGCTCAAATTAACTTAGACTGGAAATACGCCGGAACAAAACACTTGATCTTGTGCTGCTGCCATGGGCCAAACGAGTGCACACTCTGTGAGTATATATTTATACAGACATGTGTGATTTTCTGCGCTCTGATATATCCGATTTGATTTGTATTTACCTCATGCTGTGGAGGGAAAGTCACCTTCAGCAAATGGAGAGTTGCTCACATTTGATTGAATCCCATAAAACTCTTTGCTGACAGTTTTGTATTGACTTCTTTCTGTGCAGTGAAAGGCGTCCTCTGAACATTTTGGAGAAAGAAAGCAGCTCCTAATGGTAGCCAAATCCCTTTGTTTGTCTCTGAAGAACAAACACCCTACATCACTTGGCCTGTGGCTCAACCATCCCACGTTTCTCTCTTCAACTTCCAGCAAAACCCCAAAAAGCGTTTTATATTATTGTGAATAACTTTTCACCTTTAATGACAAGGTGGTTATGGTGCCATGGAAACAGATTCATTCCTGCTTTTTCCACACACAAGGGAATCTTCCTTATTATTTTGAGGATGAATAAAACACAAAGCTCTATACGCTCTTTAAAACCTTGTTCGAAGTTGGCTTTTTCAGGTCACTATTCTTCATTGCTATTTTGAAAATAAATACAGCATTTAGCTGCCATTTTAGTTTTATTAGGATCAAAGTGCAAGATGGCTTCTCATACGAGCTTTAAAAAAGGAGGACATTTAAATGTGTGCTGTCTACAGGGTGGACGGGTGGGGCTCTGATCTTATCATAGGGTGCCGGATTTCACCTCCTCAGCATCCTCATCAAGGATTCAGTCAATAGTGACACAGGGTCGCGGGGGGGGGGGGGGGGGGTAGATGACAAGGCCATACTGTATGTGCATCTCCAACTTTCATAGGTTCAAGGCCAAGATCAAAGTCATGTATTAATGATGCGATATATCATGCAAATAAGGTATTTTGCTTACTATTACATAACATCGAGGACTTTGGAAGCCGATTGGATACGTTTCGTGTGATCATGTTGAAAAAAAAGCAAGAAGATTCCTACTTTTGCTCGAGATAATGAATGTCAGCCCAGAATAGGCGGCTTCAAAAACAAATCCATCAGCATTGGCACGGAAAAACTCATCGGTAAAACACACACACACACACACACACACACACACACACACACACACACACACACACACCACACACACACACACACACACACACACACACACACACACACACACACACACACACACACACACACACACACACACACACACACACACACACACACACCACACACACACACACACACACACACACACACACACACACACACACACACACACACACACACACACACACACCACACACACACACACACACACAAACACACACACACACACACACACCACACACACACACACACACACACACACACACACACACACACACACACACACACACACACACACACACACACACACACACACACCTGCATGACCTGATCTATACATCTGATTCATCACAAAGGATTTTCCTAAAGCTCCAGCAGCATGAAGCCTGATAACCACGATATGAGACATAGCCTCAGACGAGTAATATGACAGGACTAAGGTGAACAATATCTCAAAAGCTCCAAATATATTATCACCAATATTCTCTGCCTAAAAAACGGGATTTCAAACTTTTTTGCAAAGACACTTTTAGCTCAAACAGCAATGATGTCATGGTACTTTTATTATTTGTTTTAATTCATCTATTCAATATCATACATGATGGGGAAGACATACACAGCAACAAGACATTACATACAGTAATTAAAGAAAAAAGGAAAGAAAACTACATTAAAATGAGCAAATCAAATTAGTTTTGATTGCCTTCTTATTCCTAATGTTTTTAATAGTGCCAATATATTGTTTAAATTCTTGATAGAAATCAGAGTCAGCCCGTTTTTTTTATGGATAGGAAATGTCTCAATCAACTGCACAAAAAAGACAAAATCTGCATCCATCCCATCAGTCTTGAAGTACATAAGAATGTCTCTATCTTGGAGTTTAATCTTTTGTCCCGTCTTTCTTCTAATAAAACATTCTACATCATACCACAATACACGCATTCATAAAATAAATGGCCAATACTTTCTTCTTGTAGATTACAACATGTACAGGAATATTCAATATCAAGTCCAAATCGTTGCAGTGTCCTTTTTGCCGGATATATTGTGTGTAACATGTTAAAAGAAACCTCCTTAACTTTATTATTGAGCAAAAATGTATTTCCAATTACCCAAATGTGTTTCCAATGAAGTCATGGTATTCACATCGTGAGGTACCATAGTAAACTGAAACGCCATTTTGTCATATATAGCAGATTATTTCCCTTACCTCCGAATAGATCATGGTTTGAGAAAATTGTTATTTTTCTGAAATGAATGCTTGGCGTTTTTGGCATCAAACCAATTCAGCTGAAGGGAGGGATGGCGCCCAACTGATGTTGCTCCTTTAAAAAAAGCGTTGTGGTTCTTTATCAGAGAAACTCAAGATGCCCGCGGGGAACTGGAGAACGTTTAATTACTGATAAGCAAAAAGGGCCACAGCTAGATTGGAAACAGTGCACTCATACGGGTGATTAAGTCTCCGTCTGCTCCATGAAAACTCATCCTTATTATCTTCATATTTGTATTAGATATGTGGCTCCTATGGATTATTAAGTGGGATATGAAACTGTAAGTGTGTAGGTTTGTTAACAGTATCATAATAATGCTACTATAAATTCAATGTTGGCTCCCTAACCTCTGTAGAATTCACATATCATTTATTTTAATGAATAATACAGGGAAAATGACCTTTAGACATCTACTGTAGGATAGCTGTCTAAAGGTAACACCATTTTCCCAGCAGCTCATTAACACATTTCTCAATTACATACTGTCAGAAGTTCCAGTCCCTGTGATAAATATAGATTTTTTAACAGCTCTCCCACACGTTACTGCATAATGGACATCCGGAGCGGGGTGATCACATTATGATTAATCCTTACACTGAATCACCAGTTGATGATGCAAATGTCAATATTTGGTAATGAGCAGGCAGGCAAAATGGCCCCTTCCAGTGGGAAAACCTACTGTAAATAATGACTCGGTGGTGACGTGTGAAAACGCTTTCTTTTCAGCAGAATCATACGGAGAGGGAAAAACTCATTACACAGAGTCTCTGTCCTAATTCTCGCCCTCTTGGTCCCCACATCAATTCCCCCTCCTCCAGCCTTTTATATTGCAGTTTCACTTGACAATGTTCCTGCCTGTCCAATAATGCTGCAGCAGATAGAGAGCTTTACAACACACCCAGAGCCATATTATATCTCTTCCTTTTTTAACTCAATTGATATAGCATTTCTGCCTCGTCTTATTTTCGCCTTTAGTTTTTCACTTCTACCTCCTTGTCGTCTCGGTTTCTCTGCTATCTCATCGCTCTCCATTTTCACTCCTTATCTACCCTTGCCTGCCTCCTCTCCTTTTACCCTCTCCTCTCGTCTCGGACTGACAGACGTTTTTCCCTCTTTTGGCGGCTTGCTAATTTCATATTGACAGCGAGTAGAGACACAATTTCCACAATAATGTGAAACCCTACTTTCCAAACGGACCTTATGGGCCTGCAATGCTGTATCAATGTTGATAATAGATGAGTTAAGTATAACGTGGCGGGTCCATCCGTCTCATAATTACACCTTCTAGCTGGAGCACGCACACACACACACACACACACACACACACACACACACACACACACACACACACACACACACACACACACACACACACACACACACACACACACACACACACACACACACACACACACACACACACACACACACACACACACACACACACACACACACACACACACACACACACACACACACACACACACACACACACACACACACACACACACACACACACACACACACCACACACACACACACACACACACACACACACACACACACACACACACACACACACACACACACACACACACACACACACACACACACACACACACACACACACACACACACACAGGTATTAATGTTTGGTGGCACACAGGAGAATGTCTTTTTTGGTGGGACATTTTCATGGTTTTGGGAAGTTTGGTGAACGTCAAGGATTCCTAATAAAAAATAAGAGAACTACACAGAACCTCAGATTGAACCATGCATGATAAACAAACCAACAAAAAACAACAAGGGATTCAAGGCCAGCGCTTCATCTCTGCCTCAAAACAGATTGATAAAGATTGATGTAAAAGAGGATTTTTTTTGTATTCTCAATCAAAGTGTTTACAGTTTTCTTTTGCAGCCTGTGTCTCCAGCTTAGACCCCAGAGCAGAGTAATAACAACTCAAATGAAAAACAACTTCAAATGCATGGGAATAAGTGCACAGGCTTGTTTACTGGAGAACATCAGTGTGTGATAGCAGAGGAGTTCACAGCATGAGGATATACATATATACTCTGACTAAACTTCTTCAAAAGTAAAAAGTATGGGCTTTGAAATGTACTTCAGTAAAAAGTACCCATAACTAGCAGCAGTTTTAAAGAGTACCTGACCTCTCTTTATATCAATAGAACAATAATGTCATTGTTAGCTAATAAATGTTTCCATGCTGAACAACGGCAACATGACAACGTTTCCATTGGTCCCTCTTCTTTAGAGAAGACCAGGAAATGATGGATACGCGGATCGTGTTCAAATCAATAGGCACGCAATGACTCTAAAGAATAATGATCACGCCACCAAACACACATTCAAACTAAAGCCTGTTTGGAAAATGTAACAAGTAGAACGTACAGGTATTTGTGTTTAAAAATAAGTAAAAGAGGGGGCAGCATACCTGGAGAAGCAGGTCTGAAGCAGGTTTGATTCGCTGCTGGAACAGGACCCCCAGAGCCCGGTTCTGCTGCTCCAGGTCAAAGACTCGGGTCCGTAGCTTCAGACATTCCTCCCTGAGATCCTGAGGGAGGAGGACACAGGGAGCGTCAGAGAAATGCTTTTCTGAGGTATAAAAGTGATGTTCATCAAGAGTTTAAGTGCATTATCAGACCTTTTTTTTAATGCATTCCACACTCTGTTAAACATTGTGCTATTGGTATAGCCTATCTGCAGCATATGTACAGTATGTATGTGTTTATGTATACAGTTGATGTGTAGGATTATAGGTATTTGCTGCATGTATGTATATGCATAATATATATATTTATTTAACAATATTCCTGGTAAATAATCGTGTGAGGCTCACTGGCAGTTAATGTAGGGGATTACTTTAGTCGTTGTTATTGTTTGTTTGTGTTCTTTGTAATTTTTTTGACTTTTTGTACATACAATCAGTACAGACCATTGTCTCATTTGTATTGTATACTTTGCTTTCCACTTCTAAATGACAAACATTACTTATGCATTGTCGAAACGCAATACAAATATTTTTGATCAGAAGTGTATCATCAGGAGGAAACGAACCTTTTGGGTGAGAAGCGCCTGTACCACTTGATTGGCAACCTTAAATAGACAGAAAAAAGCCATTATTGGATGTCTTCCAAGGTATTTTATGACCCTTATAGGCCTCTGTAGAGCGACTTTGCATTTATACCGCAGCCAATTTACACATAAGATGAAATAGCTGAAATAGCATTAAAATCACAAATGCCCTTTAAGAGTCTATTTTTAAAGAAAATGTATTCGAACAGTACTTCATTTCATAGTTTTAAGGTGTCATACATAACATTGTATCTTACAGTACATTTGTGAGAGAACTAATCACAAATCAGGCTAGTTATCAACATTTCATTGTCTCACTAAAACAGTAATTCTACATTGAACATGGCAGCATATATAACAGACAGAGTATTTGGTGTGTGTGTGTCTTTTACAATGTTTAACTCTCACTTCCTAATGGTGCTAGCAGAGAAGCAGAGGCGTCTGGGCTTTGGTCTCACAGCGGCTAACACCCCCCCACTCTCAGACCACAGTGAAGCGGCTCCGATTACTGCCCATTGATTGCTCATTAATACTATGTGAAGCCACATCGGCTTATTTGAGTGCTCTCGCTTCTCATTTATTGAATGAGGAGGAACTGGAGTAAATATGGTGAAATGAGCCGTCGCTGCTGGAACCGCAAGACACAGATCTGAGTGTAAAACAGTGATCAAACACAACCTAATGGTATCGGACAGAGGGTTTGAACTCTGCCGTTGTTTGACTTTGACACAAGTAATTAAAGTACAAAATGAGCTCACACAAATGTAGACAGGCAGCTGTTGGAACATAGAAGATAAATCATCCCAAAAGAAAGCGTTTTTCCCACTGTATGTAGCCAGCATCCTCAAAACAGGATCATTACCAAGCCCCCCCCTCTTCCTCAAATGTCACATAGGAAAACAGTTGACAAGTAAACGCAACAAAGCTGAGTCGAGCCATCTTAATGAGGGTAGGGAAGCAGAAAGGAGCCAGGAAGGAATTCATGGAGGACGCAAACTGTGACCCTCCTTTTTTTTTCTTACATCGCTCACTTTAATCTCCTTCCTCACCCCTTCCTCCTCCAATCCCCCTATCCTTTCCTCTTTCTTCCTCACAAACATAATTTCTGCTACTATTATTATCAGTGTTGTAAAGTAACTAGGTACATTTACTACTTTTTTGAGACTTCTACTTGTACTGCACTACATGTATTTAAGACATGTAGTTACTTTACAGATCTGGATTAATGATCTTAAATCAGACTTTAGATCCACCTGGAGTAAATCCACCAGCTACCCTGCAGTCTACAAAGTCCTTCAAACTAGCTGCACCTTCACCAGCTTTGAGAACACTTTCATGATCAATCATTATAAAACATATCATATATATTATTCTGAAATGGACCAATCTGCACAACGACTACTTTTACTTTTGGTACTTTAACTATATTTAGATGCTGATACTTTTCTACTTTTACTTGAGGAACATTTTGAATGCAGGACTTTGACTTGTAACAGAGTATTCCTGGTACTTTTCTCAAGTACAACATCTGAGTACTTCTCCTACCTCTGATTATTGTACAAGCATCAACAAAAAGCCTTTTGACATTAAAGACTCCTTAATCGTACAGTAAAATAACTAGGATCCTAGTTTCCATAATTGTCTATTTTTTACATAAATCAGACTAATAATGGTTTAACTTACAGCAGCTAAATCATTCTACTCCCTCTTTATAAAATGTATGAGAGATTGGGTTTTAGAGCCTCACAATTTAGACAATGTTTTAAAAATGACTTCTCAACAATTCTCCTCCGCCTCCCTCAAGCTCAAGACAATTGTAAACCTGTGGTTAAAACATTAAAGGTCACCTATTATGCAAAATCCACTTCTTCATGTCTCTTCTACATCAACATGTGTCCCCTCTTCTTCATGTCTCTTCTACATCAACATGTGTCCCCTCTGTGGAAAGAGACTCTGAAAGTTTCAGGAAAAAATATTTGCTCTCTTTTTGTCCTGATCCATTTCTATAAAAAAACCTGTCTGAAAATGAGCTGATCAGATTTTGGCCACTTTGTGATGTCATAATGGTTTTTTGGCTTGTGTAACGATTAGCCAATCAGCAACCAAGGTAACACCCCCCCCCACCTTATCACCTGAATCTCCTCCTAGAGCACCATTGAGTTCTTTTTAACCAAATGTCTCTCAGAGGGGCGTGGGGAGGGGGCTCCTTATTTTCATCTAAAGTAACAGACAGAGAATCAGCACTTTTGGGATTATGGGATGCTGCAATGATCTGTTTGGTATTTCAGCCAAACACTTCAGAGACATGTTTTGTATATCTGAGACCTATGATAAAGTAATGAAAAACAGTATAATAGGGGACCTTTAATTTGAAGCTCAACTAAGCTTGTTTTGTTCACACAAAGTCAGAAGTAATTCTTCAAGGTTTGGGAAAATGCCAAAGGAAAGCCAAATGTTGGTCACTCACCTCATCTAAGCAGCGTTCATACTGCTCTCTCTGGTTCTCGTTCTCCGAGGCCAAGGAAGAGTTCTTCTCCTGCAAAGAACACACACACACACACACACACACACACACACACACACACACACACACACACACACACACACACACACACACACACACACACACACACACACACACACACACACACACACACACACACACACACACCACACACACACACACACACACACACACACACACACACACACACACACACACACACACACACACACACACACACACACACACACACACACACACACACACACACACACACACACACACACACACACACACACACACACACACACACACACACACACACAGTCAGGGTCAAACCTCGCAGAGACTTTGCGTACATGCGATGCAACCAAACAACAGACAGAAATAACAATCAGGCAGAGCTAACGGGAGAGTTGCTCCACAAAGGTCATACGTCAACGCTGAACTTGAGATGGCCAATAACAAAAGAAAATCACAGAGTAGTAGAGAGAAAGGTCAGCAGGATGGAAGTGATGATGCTGAACTTTGGGGCGGGAAAGCTAGCCATTTGGAGTTCGGACCTAATAAGAATATCTCCTCCACTTGCCAAGCGATGAGGCGGCGCCCTATTGATCTCTGGGAGTTTCCAATTTGTCAGTGGCAGGCAGCTTATTAGAATCTGTCAGCCAGCCTAGCTTCTCTCGACCCTCTGCCCTTTAGTTGGAACTACCGATATAATTACAACCCAAAATATTCTAATTATACCATATAGGAAGAAACAACCACTAATTGAAGCCTTGAAGCCTGATTATGGGTGCAAATGTAATCAATGACCTTGGTAGTTGTGAAAGAAAGTGTTTGTGAATGGAGATATCTGTAGGGGCTTTATTATAAATGTTACCTGAACCCTGACACAAATGTTTTTTAATCTATTTTACAGTGACACAAATTTTGGTTTACTGCACTGTATATCGTAATGTCGTCATCTCAATAGTTTTTTTCATATAGAATTGAAAGTCTTAATGTTGTAACCTTTGAAGCAACTAATGGGAATTTAATTTAGCAAACCAACAAAAATATGTATTTACTTAATAATAGTAAATACTACTAAGTATTACATTTGAATTACCCATATTTGTCTTTAAGCATTGTTCGTTTTTTTCTAAATAAATAATGAAATGTTATCCACAGCAATATACAGTATATATAAATATTTGTGTATATCATTAAGACTTTTCTCAAATATATTGATAGTTTTCTACGTACATTTTTTTACGATGTAATGTCTTGAAGTATTATGACATTTTGTGTGAAATATTACATTTTATTTTCAATGTTAAAACCTCGACAAAGCGCTCTCTTGGCTAACAAACACGCTATATAAAGACATGCAGGTGATATTTAGGTTTGATGGGTGATCTTGGGAATTTCTTCAATGTATTCCTTCTGCTGGCAGGAGATTGAAACGAGGGAAAGGAAACAGATAACTGCAGAGAATGTTCACGGTGATGGATTATGCTGCTTTGGCAGATTTCAAGCTTTTGGAAGGCCAGCAAATTGAAGAGGAATGGAGGAATTCCCTCTCTCCAACACCAGAAGTCCATTAAAAACTCCTCTCCTGGTATTGAATTTAGACTTTGGGCATGTAGCTTGTTAATAAACAACCCTGTGTGGCCACATTTTAGCAGCTATGTTCTCTCGCTGAACAAGTGAGATAACTGACGGGCATTTCTCCCAAAGTCTGGGTGTTTTCAGTTAAGCCCCAGTGACAGACCATAATGCGTGCCTGCCAAGTTAATGAAGAGCATCAGTTGTGCCGGGCAGTGCTTTCTTAGTGTCAGTGGAGTTTATGCACAATGCGGGGCAGTGATTTATTGCCTTGTTGTTGCGGTGCATCCATCACCGGCGCCGGCAGAATGGAATAAAATGGCAGATAACTTTTGATAGAGCCATTTAGAAATGTAATGCTCAGGTAATGTGCTTCATCAGGTGGACATATAACTTCCTGCCAGTCTGGGAAGATAGCTTACAGCTGAGGAGCAACAGGCAATTACCTGCCACTTTGCAGTAATAAGGGTCTATTTTCTACCAGGGAGGCCTTCGTGTAATGGGAAAAAACACACAGAATACATTCCAACGACTTGTTCTTTTCTCCGAGAAGATACTCTTTTTGCTGTGAGTCTTATCGCTGAGCTTCTTGATTACTGGCATCATTTGCTTTCCAAAAATAGCACAGAGGTTAATGTCACCAAGAGGCCACGGGGAGCCACTTTGAAATGCAAAAGTGTGACTGGTGGCTACATTTAATTAGGTCTGAGTCTTCTAATTGCTAAAGATGATGTGAGAGGATGTGTCCGGTGGCTGCTGTAAAAATGAAAAACAAATCAGCGTGGATCACTGTGTCTGCGAGTGGAGTGCGGCTCAAATCCCCACGAGCGCAGAGGAAAACAAACCAAAGCTGGAGGACAGCCCGTGGCATCCCCCCCGCCCCTACCGGCAACTCTCAAAGGATGACTTCGCTCTCCAAACACTGGAGAATTTGATGAGCTGTCATGCTTTCAGACACAATTTGAACAAAGGACTCTGACAACTGGCAGACAGACGAAGAGGAATGAAGAAGGAGAACAAAGAGGGGTAGGGGGAGATAAAGAAAACAAAAAGGGAACGCAGCTCAGGTGGTAAGAAATAGAAAAACGTGGTAAAAGTGTTTACCTCCAGGGCCGTGAGGCGTTCCAGAAGGGGTTTGGCTTCGTCCTCCTCTGATTGGCCGACGTCAGGATCGTTTGGTTGCAGCTCCGTAGGATTCGACGGCGGGGAGCCATTTTCTCCCAGGCCCTCGTACTGTTTCCGCACTTCCTCTGAGAGTTTATCCTGAGGCACAGAGAAGAAGAAAAAAGGAGGAAGGTTAGAATTTGGCAAGTAAAAAACCTGAGCAGATGGGATGAGAAGCGTTCAGAAGTGAGGTATGACAAATGTTTCAGGGACAGGATGGGTAAGGAGCCGTGAAAGGCAGGAAATCGGAGGGAAGGAGAAAAGGGGGAGAGGATCAGATGGGCAGACAACAGGGAGGCAGCTCCAACAACACAGCGCCAAAACATCCCCTAATCCCTAATCATGTTTCACTTGTTTTCCAAAGAGTGGCAGTGACCTTGAAGGCTGTCATCTCCGTTGCATTGTGGGGATCTTTCGCTCTGTGTTGCCGTCTCTATGCCAGCTATCCGTTTCCTTTTGGGGTTAATTTTTTCTTGGCATCTGCGATAACAAACTATTGGTAATAATTGGACGCTAATTAGCTGCTAGCACTGACATGCAAAAGGAAACTCTCAGAATGTCCATCCTAAAAGTACTTCAACATGTATTCAACATATCCAAACATTAATTCAGTCATCATTATCTGTACAATTGCTTTGGTTTATGATAGGCGAAAAGAAGCAATTAAAAAACATCCCCTTAGGCCATAACGTCCTATGAAGGTCAGTATTTAATGCATTCTCTATAATAAGCTAGTGGCCGTGACCACCGTTCACAGGTTGAACATGTTTAGGAGTTCATAGCAGTTCATTTAAAAACTGGATTTTCCACTTGAAAACTCTCAGATTGTTTCATTTGAATAGCTGTTAAGGGCCTGAAGAGGTGGAACGTTTCTACTATCTCACAAGAAAAACAGCAGAAGTAGAATATTAAGATTTGAAATATTCTGAAATATATACATTTTCATTTTAGTGACCATTGCCTGCTTGGGACCCGATACAAAAGTAGCACCTAATTAAAAGACATGTTAGAGGCCTGTATTGAACAAGAAGAGGCAACGATTTGAGAAAAGTCTGAAAGAAAGGATCTTTGCTTCAAATGAGTTATCGATAACATCCTGCACACACACTGAATTTCTCATTCCGAGGCGAGCTTTGACAGGTAGATGTCCAACCTAAAGATATATAGGTGTATGTGATGGATAAAAGCTGAGGTCAGCAGCACTAATGCAGCTCGTCTTTTATATATCCAAATGCAGCCAGAACAAGATCTCCTAACAGGAATTGGAAATAATGTCCTTGAGAGTGCTTTGTTTTCAGCTTGATCCAATCTCCTCTAAACATATATTAGGTGTTCAATCTTGCTTGATTCCATCAGACAATCCAGTTTGAGGCAATTCTTTAAAGTCAAGCTTATAAGTTGGCTTTTTGTTTGCTAGCCAGGGCAGTCTGCAGTTTACTTTGAGAGGCTGCTCATCAGATGGCGTTAAAGGGCTCCGTAATAATCTCCACAGGGGGGGGGGTGGTGGGGGTGGAGTGGGAGAGGGGAGGAACTGTGTCCCTCATGCTGCCCTTTCAAGTTATTGAGTCTGTCTGCTGAACACACAGAATAATACAGCTGCAGCAGGAGCACATCGCTGCAGAGGAACGGGTGGTGTTACTCAGATATCTCTTTGACTGATGAACACAGAGGCGCACTATCTCTGAGTAAACACACACATACTGTACATCAGTGTGGGAAAATAACAATGCTCTTCAGCTGAGAAAAAAGATCTTCTTGAGCATCATTTGTGTGTTTGTTCCATTAAGGGTTGACATCGGTAATAAATCAAAACTGTATTCCTGTATATGTTCTAATCTTAGAAAGATATACAGGTCTAAGGCATGCTGTGGAAAAGTACTGCTGCGTGCTAAATGGTAACATCAGCATGCTAACAATGACACCCTGTTATTAGATAATAATATATAACTAATTATCCCTGTTATTTACTGTATGTAGCAAAACAAAAACAAGTCTCTTGTTCAAGTCGTTCTTTTGTCTGTGTTATATAAATTCAAATGTAACATATTTGGCATTTTAAGACTTATTATTAATTGATTAACCAAGAAAAAAAGTTACAAGTTAAAGGGGCCCTATTCTGCTAATGTTCAGGTGTATATCAGTATGTAGTGTCTCTACTTTAAATAGTCCTCTTTGGCTGAAGTTCAGGTGTATATCAGTATGTAGTGTCTCTACTTTAAAGAGTCCTCTCCTTGTAGCCTTTATTTAACAAGGTAAAATCCCATTGAGATCAATGATCTCTTTTTCAAGGGAGACCTGCAGCACATTGGATACACATAAAAAACAACAGAAAACCAAAAGGACATCAATACAACATAATTACAGGGGTACAAATTACAACCTATTCACAATAACAGGTATCAAATAACATTTCATCTATCCGAGCTTTAAAATGATGCAGGGGAACCAAAATGCTCAGTTTATAAAAAAATGGCATAGTGTTCCAAGCTAGAGGAGCAGCACACATAAAAGCTTTAGTACCTAAAACAGTCCTAGCACTTGGCACATGTAATAAAAACACATCCTGGGATCTCACGCAATTCTGTCATCATCCTGTTGGACCCGTCTGTTGCATTCGACACGGTGAACCATCAGATCCTCCTTCGCACTCTCCAAAAACTTGGAGTTTCAGGCTCTGCACTTTCCCTCCTCACCTCATACCTCAAAGACCGTACCTACAGGGTAACTTGGAGAGGGTCTGAGTCCGACCCTTGTCAATTAACTACGGGGGTCCCTCAGGGCTCTGTTCTTGGTCCCCTCCTCTTCTCCCTGTACACAAACTCGCTCGGATCAGTCATTAGCCCGCATGGTTTTTCTTACCACTGCTACGCTGACGACACCCAATTAATTCTGTCCTTTCCCCGCTCAGAGACCCAGGTCGTCGCACGCATCTCTGCTTGTCTAGCTGACATCTCTCAGTGGATGTCTGCTCATCACCTCAAGCTCAACCTTGACAAGACTGAGCTGCTTTTCCTTCCGGGAAAAGATTGTCCCACTCTTGACCTGACAATCAACATCGGCACCTCAGTTGTTTCCCCGACTCAGACTGCAAGGAATCTGGGTGTGACCCTAGATAACAACCTGTCCTTTACTGCAAACATCGCTGCTACAACCCGTTGCTGCAGATACACGCTTTACAACATCAGGAAGATACGTCCCCAGCTGACACAGAAAGCGACGCAGGTTCTGGTCCAGGCTCTCGTCATCTCACGCCTAGACTACTGCAACTCCCTCCTGGCTGGTCTACCTGCATGTGCCATCCGACCTCTGCAGCTCATCCAGAATGCAGCGGCTCGTCTGGTCTTCAACCTTCCTAAATTTTCCCACACTACTCCGCTCCTCCGCTCCCTTCACTGGCTTCCGGTAACTGCTAGAATCCACTTCAAGACACTGGTACTAGCGTACCATGCTGCGAATGGATCTGGCCCTTCCTACATCCAGGACATGGTTAAACCGTACACCCCAGCGTGTGCACTACGCTCTGCATCAGCCAAACGACTCGCTGCGCCCTCGCTGCGAGGGGGACCCAAGTTCCCATCGGCGAAAACACGTGGGTTTGCTGTCCTGGCTCCAAGATGGTGGAATGAGCTCCCCATTGACATCAGGACGGCAGATAGCTTGCACATCTTCCGGCGCAAACTGAAAACTCATCTCTTTCGACTCCACTTCGAGCGTTAGAACTATTAACGAAGCACTTTTATACTAATAAAGGACTGGCTTACCTAAAACCAGTTGAGTAGCACTTGAAATGTTTTTGCTCTATGAAGCCTGATGTACTTATATGATTCTGTTTTCTTCAAGTTGTATTTTGTTGGACGAACGCACTTATTGTAAGTCGCTTTGGATAAAAGCGTCAGCTAAATGCAATGTAATGTAATGTAATGTAAAGAGTCCTCTTCTGCTGATGTCCAGGTGTATATCAGTATGTAGTGTCTCTTCATGTCTTCATGCTTTAATGTTCAAAAAGCTCTTCATTTTTCTCATACTGCCTGTGCAGCAGCACCTCTTTTCACCCTCTGTCTGAAACCAGAGCCCAGTCTGCTCTGATTGGTTAGCTGTTGTGATTGGTTTTATATAAAAATGATTGCTGACAAGTATTTTAAAAGATTCAGTTTGGGTTGAACCCAGGTGCTCAGAGTGGAGAATATTTACAGTATGCTTCCACAAAACACACCCTATTCTACTTCCTATCACCCCTGTTGTTCTGTTTTTCAATCCACATAATCTTTTGTTGTTGTGGGGAACCCAGAAAAGGATTACTTTGTGAGCACAGAGACTAATATTTGCATATTGACACATTGTATTCATGTCACATACATTTCAGAGCGAGCTGTCTAGTCATAACCCTCAGGGCAATTTACAGCACATCAGCCTTTTATCATGGCTGTTAATAACACGGTTCACCATCCTGACATTTAAACTTATAGTGCTCGTTTTTATATTCTGCCCGCACTTATTTGCACTCGTCATTCCTGAGTTCCTGCCGTCTTTTATTCACACTGATGTTTTATAAAGACACTCTTTTTATTGCAAACTTACTTTCCCATAAATGTACTTTTCCTTCTGTTCCCTGGAGACGTTTTGCTGCTGCTTTATGAAAACTTAAAAATGTTGTGTGTGGTGGTGGGTAATACTAAAAGAAGTAATTTCAGGTCTACAAATGAAAGCTTCACACAGTAGGGAATAGTTTGCTGTAGTTAAGGCTCTCAGACAAAGCAGTGACTAACACCTGTGATGATAAACAGACTGAGGCAACAGCGTTTTAGAGCTGCAACGTCCTGACCCTGCTTCAGAGATATGTGTAATCTTTCTCCCAGCAGCTATTTATCTTATGTAATCGAGTAAAGCACCTGAGCTCAGTCTGGCTTTACTCACCACTGTCTGAGCTGCGGAAAACGATGAGTGAGATACAAACAAAGAGACAAATACGAGAATATGTGTCATTAGTAAACATATAGGCAGGGGTGCACATAACTTATTTGCCCTGGTTCTCAAAGGAGCACCTGGAGATGTTGCTTGGTGCTCATCCTTAAAATGAAATAAACCGTAACCTTTGAGGGGGTCTTGACTTTATTTGCCAGACACACGGCGCTGAACACACACACAGAGGTGCACACAGAACACACATGCAGAGGTGAACACAAGACAACATTAGCACGACCAGTAATCCTACAAGCTGTCATCACTACCCTCCTGACTGTTCTCCTCACTGTCTTCCTCTCTGTCAGACATGGTAGCTGATGATGTAGGCCTACTTCTTTCTCTCTGGTTGAGTCTGTGATTAGCTGCTTGCATCCACAAGTCAACAGCTGGGTTTGGGTCGAAAGTCTCTGTTGTCATCTTAGACAAGTGGATGTAATCAAATAAGTATGTGAACATAACCAATAACCTACCATAGCCAATAACAAATTCATGTAACTTATTTTATTTTTGTTGTTCATTCATATCTTATTTTACCTTAACATGTATTTATTTATGCATTTTTTTTCATCTCTCCAGTTTTAAACGATATGTCTGGTTTACTGTCCTATAGTATACATTTGAATGATTTCAAACCTGTTTATCCCAATAATTATAAAGGAGTGCCTTGGAAATATGTGTTTACATAAATTGTGATCAAAACGTTTGAGACCCACTGAGATAACTAGACTAAAGTGAACTATCTAAACACTCAGAGTCCTTTACCTCACTGAGCTGTAGTTATCAGCCTCAGTCTGACTGGAGAGGACTCTCCCTCCACATCATTGTAGAAACATCTTCTTCTTATATCCGTTAGAGCAGCTAGCACCAGATTCTAATAACAACAGCGCCGGAACCGGTGCACCCTCCCTCGCTCCCACGCTCACTCGCACTTTGGCTGTGAGCTGCGGGCGCCAGATAAGCCAACATCCCCCACTTTCATCACTTACAGCGCCCATCGTACAGGGCAAATGAAACGTGTAACCGGGGTGAAAAGGGTGTTACATTTACTTAATTATGAATGTTGTTACATCAAGGCCGAAAATTAGGATGAGCACCAACAGTCAAAAATGTTTTTTTCCCTCCACAGATCTGGCGCCCTAGGCGAACATCTATAACGCCAGTGCTACGGGCCGGCCCTGAGTTCATATGCAACTCGCAAATATCTTTCTCTCTCTCCTCTCTTCTCTCTTTTCTCTCCTCTCTTTTCTCTTCTCCCTTCTCTCTCTCCTCTCTTTTCTCTCCTCTCTTTTCTCTTCTCCCTTCTCTCTCTCCTCTCTCCTCTCTTTTCTCTTCTCCCTTCTCTCTCTCCTCTCTCCTCTCTTTTCTCTCTCTCCCTCTCTCTCAATGTTGGTACGCAAATGCGCCTTTTTTCAAATGACCCGGTGCTCTTTTTTTGGCGGAGGTGCGCATGCGCACCTGCGCACCAGTTATGTGCAGCCCTGCATATAGGCTCCTTTACACTTTCAATTTTTAAAGGTCTCCTATTTTGCTATTTTGAGGCATATATTATGGGTCTCAGATATATAAAAATATATGAAAAACATGTCTGTGAAGTGTTTTGCTCAAAATACCAACAGATATACCAACTATTTACGCCCTATTAGAGAAGTGCTGATTCTGGGTCTAAAGCTAAAGGGAGGGGGGTATCTGATCAGGAAAATTCTACCCAGATACTGAGCTAAATGCTGCCGTGATGAAACGCCATATGTTCAAAACCACATCAAGAATTATTTCTGAAACAGTATGGAGCTCAAATGCTTTTTCTCTTGCGGGTTTACCACAAGGTGAGTTCCTTTCTATATCCTGCTTTTTAAACACATGTGCTCTCCAGTAAAGGTTAGCTCTGAGTGTTAGCGATGCTTGCTAATGTAAACAAAGACCATATTACTTCCAAATCACGTCAGGCATTGTTTCTGATAGCTACGTTTCTGATAGGGCCGTGGGCGTAAAGCCAGCCCACATTTCAGATATTACTTCATATCGGACGGAAATCTGGATCAGCTCCGTTGTACCCCCGTTTTTAGAGATTTGGGTACGGAGGGAAAGAGAGAGGGTTTTGTTTTCTGACACTTTGTGGGTTCCCTGACACACCGGGGACACATATTTATGTATAAAAGACATAAAAAAGTGCATTAAGCATGATAGGAGATTTTTAATGTTTACCTTGTAGGCCTTCATGATGTCCACAGTGTCCACAGCAGTCTGCTCCACAACGCCCTGGTTCTGCAGCAGCGTCCGCACCGTCTCTTCCATCCTGCACACAGGACACATATCATGGTTAAAACATCGCAATATCTCATTCATTTGGAAGACTTCTTGGTTCCACACAAGTCTCCAGAAGCTGTGGATTATCACGAATAACCGGGAAATGCTTTCTAGTAGCATGTTTTGGCCAAAAGCAGTTTTAGGTAGCCACTGATCATTGATACTATGGTCCACACGTGCTTTGTTGTTAATTTCCCCTGCAGAAGAGCCAGTATGAACCTGCACGAGGGTTATTTAGATTTATAATTCCTAAAATGACCCGATGCCAGAGCCCACAGCTACTTCAAAGCAAAAGCACCAATACAAACATCCAAAATGGTATCTATCTTCAAGCTGTTATGACAGCTTAAAATGAGTCATTGCAACCTTGAATTGGGATATTTATTTCTGTTTACACTTTCCATAAGCATACAAACACACACAAACCGAATGGGACTGATTCAGTGCCAACTATGCTAGGAAACCCTTTGTCCAAATGACTAGATTGAGAACGAAATGTGCAAACATAGTACTTACTGACATATTGTCTGTGATTGTATAAGAGTGTGTGTGTGCCCAGCCGTGTGTGTGTCTGCTGATGGCTGGAATTAAGTGCAATCACAGCAGCAAGCACCGAGCGAGTGACCTTGACCTTCAAGTCGAGGACTGCTCTAAACAATCCGAGCTTCTATTTTGTGCTGCTAACGCTGCAAGCTGCATGCAAAACAGGTGGCAAAAGTGCAACGGGAAAAATGCTTCTGCCTATTTACATCTGAATGAATAAGAGCCACATGCTAAAACTGTGGAGGGAACTTAGTATTCTGATTCTGTACAAATAAAAAGCAGAGTCCCACAGCAGCAGATGACTAAGATGATTTTGGAGCCAGAAGGGTTCATGCTAACGTAAATGATCAGATACATTCACGAGCTTCAACGAGGTTGGGAAGTGACAGCCATTGTTAAAAAAAGGAGACACAAGAAAGGCTTTGATATAGTCAGGTGGGAATCATCCACATTTTATGACATTATTTTTGTACTGGTTTGATTCGTGACAAATGGAAAGGATTTTAATCTTTGCACATGTCCCGCATTAGCAAGCAAATCACGTTTTTGTTTTACATTAAACTAAGAGAAATCAGCAACACCATTATTATCACCTTGATGAAAAAGCCTATTCTAACCTTGAAGGAATAGTTCCACATTTTGTCAGTACGTTAGCCTTAGCTGTGGCAGGCATTCTGTGTCCTTAGCTTAGCATAAAGACTGACAACAGATGCTAACAGCTAGCCTTGCTTTGTGTAATGGTAATAACATTTGCATAGCAGAACTTTTACATGACATACATTAATAAGTCAGCTGTTCTTTCAACAGTTAAAAAGAATAACTTCATTATTCACTTAAATTGATGTTTGATTGATGATATATGATATGATCAATCTCATAAACTCATGAAACTTTTGTTACAATAACATAGAGAAATGTAAGTGTGCGCCCACATACAGTATGTTTGTGTCTACATGCGTGCACAATATATAATTTTAGCTAACAAACTTATTTAATATAGAAATTGTATAATTGTTGAATATTTGCATGCAATTATTTCCCCTAGACTTCTGCTTTCAGATGTATTTATTATGTATTATTAAAACCCATTATAACCCAGTGCAAAGCAGTTATGTAATAAAATACATGATTGTAGTATATGTATATAGTCTTCAAGCTCCAACCGGCCCTTTGAGTGCAACCAAAATGATTAAAAAATGTTTCAGTCAATTTATTGAACATGTCAGAAACAAAACATACAACAATAATAATAATAATATATATATTTATTCTTTCTTTTTTTCTCACTCATAATAATAATAATGACAAAGTACAACAAAAAAAAAAAAAAAAAAATTATAATAACAATTCTCAAATGGTCTCTGTCATGTTCAACAGGGGCAATAAGAAGCTTAAGAATAACTTTTCTGGTCCTACCCCCTCTAGCATACATTTTCCTAAATAAAATATTAGGTCATCGTCATCAGCGACATGTTTAAATCACACTGTACATTTTACATCTAATATGTAATATTCCTTTCCTCACATACTTATGTATATATAATATCCTGCTTTATATTTTGTTACTTTAAATTTATAATTCAACATGTATATTTTCTACTTTTTGGAATGCTATTTTATTTCTATTGAGATGTTTACATTTTGGAATGTGTATTTCTTTTAATTTGTATTGTACAATGCCATGCTGCTGCAACACAAACAATTCCCAAATTGGGATCAATAAAGTAATTCTTATCTTATCTTAATGTGGCCCGCGATAAAAGTTGACACCCCTGCTTTAACCCATGAAACACATTAGGAGTAATAGTGTTGCACTGAATCAAATCATTTCAATAGTGGCATGCATATGTTTTATATATGCTTGTCTCTTGATTGCCTGGCAGTTTTGCCCTGACTGTGGGAGAGAACGAGGGCGGGACGATGATAGCCTCACCATCTGTCCGGGCTGAGCCATAAAGCCGGCTGTAATCAGACCGCTAGCTGAACACAGGAAGAGGCTGGCAGATTGCTCCTGCTTTAAACGCTGGCCTTAATCAGCACAACGTACAGAGCAAAGAGGACGTGACATGCACAGCTTTGTAGTCTGCGAAACTGACACGGGGTCAGCCTGCAGCCCACATGGCGAGTGAGGGGGCAGGTCTTGGCCTGAGGGGATTTGGGCAGGTGACCACCTACAGATTTAGCCGGAGAGTGTGCTCCTGTTGTGTTTTGTGAGGACACTCGCAGAGGTGAGCATGCGTTTTACTCAATGATAAATCCCTGGCGATCTTGGTTTGATTCGCTGTGAAGTGACAAAAGGAAAGACTCTTTGCACATTTCCCGCATTAAATCACCTCCTCCTCTCTCCAGACCCAAACACATCGTTTTGTCAGTGTGACAGAAGGGCTTATGCTACTCATCAAAACAATGCCAAATAGTGAATCATACAGAAAGGGAATATCTTCTTCAAGTCCTTTACACATTAACAGTCCAAGTATTTGTACAAAAAAGAGCATGTTTTGTAAACTGTATTTGGACTACCAGGACAGTTTTCTTTATAAACCACACCACATCATTATCACCTTGATGAAAAGCATTTCTAACTTTAAGGGAATAGTTCCACAAACTCTTAAAACTCTTTGGTCCATTTAACATATTTCCATGTACAAATAAAATGTCTAAAAAGTGTGTGACCAATTCCTCTTAGAGAAATCGTTTTAGAAAAGTCACATATCACCCTCCTGTTAACTATTTTGTTATTGTTCAGTACCAAGCTGCCAGCATAGGAAATGTTAGATGCATATAAATATGTAAATGTGGGGAAATTAAACCTGAAATTAGAAATAGCAGAAATATCATTAGGCAAGCCAACAGATGGGAGTACAAAATTATTCTAATGCATGAAAACATCTGCCAAATGAGCCAGGGAAGCAATCAATGCAGAATCCAATGATATGAGCATTTGCTTTCATAGCCGTGGTCACACACTCACAGCTGTAACTTCCAAACAAACTTCCAGAGTGACCTTTGCATTACGGAGGCAACTCTTCCATGCCCGATTGCTTATGTTGTGGCTGGAGGAGGAGGGGGAGGGGGACGTCTGGCGTGGTGCTTCAGCTGAGGCTTTTTTTGAGGGGTCTGTGTGATTCATGCGCACCTGAAAGAGACCCTTTGTGGTTCTACGGACCACAAAGTGCTGCCTCGCCCTCCATATTGCTTTCATTTCAAAGTCCCATAAAGCACAGATGTGTGGCATCTCAGTGGACACACACTGGTGCTTTTGAATAGCTCTGGCTTTGAAGTGGTAATCGGAGAGAAAATGTACTTATTCTGGTTGAAAAATGGAAAATTGTGGAACTTGCTGATTCGTTATTGCTATTTTTAATAGTGTAGCCATGAGGAGTTTAAGCTTCAAATGTATTGTTTCTAGCTCTGTAGTTCAGTTAAACTCCCTGAACTACTTGTTATCATCTCATTTTCTTTGGCAACTCATGCAGAGCAACACAAATAACATTGCTTTGGATAATTAGCCCAGTAATCACTATCGATGTTGCACTGATTACCAACAAACTGCTTTTACGGTATTTGTTTTAAAGCATTACAATTCATTGGTATTGGTAAAATAGCTTTCTAAAACCCATCCAAAATTATATTTAAATAATGAAATCCAAGCAGTAAATCGGTCCAAATACAGAATGGGACAAGTGTCCAGAAAAACATCCCATCAAATAAACAGTTCTATTTGTCATTACTGTGAAATTCAGCCTCCTAAAACCTATTTATATGTGAGAGAGGGAGTCTGCTAAATGCATTTGATGGATGGTCCATAACTCTGAGATGACAGAGCATTACTTTACATAAAAACATAGTCATGCTCAGTGTGATTAATCTCAAAGTGCTCTTCAGTGACCTATTGAAGACATCTTTCAGGGTAGGAGGAAGGACAAGAGAGTGTGTGTGTGTGTGTGTGTGTGTGTGTGTGTGTGTGTGTGTGTGTGTGTGTGTGTGTGTGTGTGTGTGTTGAAGGGATGTATGTGGAGGCGAAAGCAAATTCCAGGCTCCCCTGACCCTCGCGCAGCATGAGCTGAATTTAAAATGTGGCGTTCGTCAGCAGTCCAGGAAATACAATTAAGGGTCCAATCAATTTTCAGCCTGAGGTCTGACGGTCTTCAGCTTTAATGTGACGACAGAGGGTAAAAAAACTTGATGCATCATCACAATGCACAGTTAGAGGTGAAATACTTTGAAAAGTAACAAGTGCAAAAACTTCCTCAAGTCAATTGTCACAATGGAATCAAACGAAGGAGCACACTATTTCTATTCATTGGAAACTGTGCTCAGCTCAATGACAAATTCCTTCACACGACTACAAATGATGAAAGGACCTCAAACCTCTCTCAAAAGCTGACAATCTGAGCTCAAAACTTACCCCTTGTTAAGTTTCTCTCCATTCTTTGTACCTCCGTT